CCTTTTAGATGGAACAAAATTAAACTTAATGAAGCAAAGGCAAATGATTGCATCTCCAGCAGGTCATGCCAATATTGCAGCTCAAGCACAAATGGCAACTGGAATACAGCAGATTCCAGTGCATCAGCCACAGCAGCTACAAATGCCTGCATATGTGCCCCAGCCACAAGTGCAAATAGGGCCACCTCCTGGCCCACCTCCAATGGCACAACCAAGACCATTTTTAGGTCCACAACAGGCACAGCAAATACCACCGGCATTTCTGCCAGCACAGCCAGCATACCAAATGCAGGCTCCTTACCAGGCATTTTCTGTCTCTCCACTAACTGGTGAGTCAAAACTAAAAATGTCAGGACACAATTACAAAGCCTGTGTCAGTGAGATTACACTATTGCTTCTTAGAGAAGGCACTCATTGTATGGTATTCAACCCTCCTGGACAACCTTGGACTTATGCAATAAGAGATTTAGAGATAAGGGCTCGCACAACATTATTGATGTCCATGGATACTGAACTGCAGGTCACTTTTCCAACAAATACAACAGCCCGTCAAATTTGGACTGAATTGGAAAATTGCTACAGGCCTATCTCAATTGAATCTTCATGTTTACTCATGTCTGAACTCCACGGTTCGAGATTGAAACCTGGTGAACAAATTGGAGGACATTTGACCAAATTGAAAGGACTGAGAACAGAATTGAGAGAAAGAGGCCATAACATTGAAGATATTCAAATGATCAGCATCATTATTAACTCTTTGAATTATGAATGGAAAGATGCTGTTACAAAAATTAACCAAGTCCCAATTGCTCAACGCAAAGTGGACAATGTCTGTAGACTTTTAATTGAAGAAGAGGCATTCATGTTGGCCACACCACACTTGAGAGGACCACCCGCATCAAAAGCTCCAGCTAGGCGCCCCTTCCGAGGAAGGACCTACGCTCCAAGGATGCCAAGATGCAACACCTGCAATCGTGTGGGACATGCCACCCGGGATTGTCCCCAACGAGTTCCAGCTCCCGTCACGTACCAGCCCAGAGGAACAGATTCCAGAGGCAGAGGCAGAGGAGGAAGACAAGGTCGTCGTGGTCCCCGGCGTGATCCACAAACTCCACTCGCCACATTGGCTTTAACCAATGATCCACAATTTCAACCAGAGTACGACAGACGACTCCTGTGGACTTTGGACAGTGGTGCAGCATTGCATGTTACCTACAGAAAGGAACTTTTCACAGAGATGCACGAGCCTGAACCAGAACTACGTGAACTTTATTCTTTTTCAAATCATCTGTCGAGCCTCGGTTGGGTCTCGCCATCACTAGGGAGGACGACGAGGAGGGGGCAAGCTGTTGGACTCTCTGGGGGCGTGTCAGGTCAAAGGAAAAGGAACTGTTTATGTTGAAGAGCTCGATGCATTCATTCCTGATGTTTATTACATACCAACAGCAACCAGTAATTTGCTTAGTCAGTGTCACTTGTCTAGAATGTTAAAGTTCCAAGTTCACCACCTTGAAAAAGCAAGTTACATAGTTAAAGATGGAGATATTGTTGCTGAAACCATGTTAATTGGTGGTGTTTATTACTTAAAGCCAAAGCCTAAACCACAAACACAGGCAAGTATGCAAACTCCAAAAAGGGAGAGCACAGGCCCAGAGAGAGATGCTCCAGAGAGAGATCCTGTTGCTATTCCTAAGGCTCCTAAAGCCAACAAAAATAGAATTGGTAAACAGGTTGCTCAGAGCAAGCCTGAGGTTCCGCATAAAAATGTTAATGTTGAGAATTCACTAACTGGTAAACCTTTGCATTCCAGGTGTATCCATAAATGGCATAGAAGATTGGGGCATGCCAGTTTCCGTGTTCTTAGGAAGATGCCGGAGTTTGCAAAAGGTTTGGATCTAAAAGGGTGTAAGGTGTTTTTGGATTGTGCTGTATGCAAGAAGGCCAAATCCAAAGCAGCAGCCATTCCCAAACACGCTACACGCCTGTCAACACGCATTTTTGATTTGGTTCACATTGACATAGTTGGTCCTTTCCCGCCATCATTTGGTGGTAGAAAATATTTTCTAACAATTGTTGATAATTACTCTAGATATGGATATGTATATCCTATGAAAGAAAAATCAGAGACTTTTCAGATCTTTAAAGACTTTGCAACCCTTGTTTCTACCCAACACCAAGTTCGCATCGCCAGAATCCAAAGTGATCGTGGTGCCGAGTTCATGTCTCAGCGTTTCCAGGACTGGATGCGTAAGAATGGAATTATTCATTAGACTTCGGCCCCTTACACACCGGCTCACAATGGAGTCGCAGAACGAAGACAAGGGGTCCTGCAAACCATGATGCGTTGTCTCCTAGAAGACGCCAACCTTGGTAAGATATACTGGGGTGAAGCTATCAAGTACGCAAATTACATTGTCAACCGTACTTGGAGCAGTGTAACAAATCAGACTCCTTTCTTCATGTTGTATGGCTACAAGCCTGATCTTAAAAACATCCATATTTTTGGTTCATATCCTATGGTGAACATTCCCTTAGCTCAAAGAAGAAAAGGAAGTCCAGCAGCAAAGAGACTGAGATTTATGGGTATTGATGATAACTCAAAATGGAGCAGATTTATTGACTCTAAACATGCAATTATGATTTCCCAATCTGCTAATTTTGAGGAAGATATTGACTGGTCCAGGATTCATTCCAATGATCCTGGAGTTTATTTTCCTAGAGATGATACTGCTGATGCTACGCAGATTGATGATCAAGATTCCACTGATTCTTCTCAACCCGATGTTCCGTCTTCGCAAGCCGTGGATGCTGACGCTAGCGACGAAAGTGAGGACGAGGACGAAGCAGAAGAAGACTGGACAGTTGTTCCGAGACGTTCCAAGAGGGCCACAAAAGGAATCCCTCCACAACGATATTCTTGGCAACTGACAAAAGCACCCTTGCCTTTGATTTGCAATGTCACACTTCCACCAGATAATTTCACACAAATCAAGCAGCTCCCTGATTCAGAGCAAGACAAATGGTATGAAGCAATGCAGGTTGAAATGGACAGTCTAAAGAAACTTAAAGTATTTACACCTGCAAAACCTCCAGCAAACAAAAAGGTCATTGGCACTCGATGGGTCTACAGAATCAAAAAGAAACCAAATGGTGGGTCACTGTACAAGGCCAGACTTGTAGCTCAGGGTTTCGCTCAACGTTATCCTGAGGACTACACAAATACTTACTCACCGACAGTCAGAACTGAGAGTGTAAAAATTGCTTTAGCAACTGCAACTATCCTTGGTTTAGAAGTTTTCCAGTTTGATGTTGACACGGCTTATCTACATGCAGACCTAGACGAAGAGATCTACGTGAGAAATCCTCCAGGATTCCGACAGCAAGAAGGGGATACCTGGTTCCTAAACAAAAGTCTTTATGGTCTGAAACAATCTGGTTTAATGTGGTATTTATGTCTTACTGACAAACTAAATTCAATGGGCTTTATTAAGTCCGAAACTGATGAGTGCATGTTCACAAAAAGATCTAACAATGCATATGAGATAATTCTTGTTTATGTTGATGATATTGTTTATATTGGTCCAAATAAGCAAATGAGTGAAATTTTTGCCAAAGCTTTGCAAAGATACTTCACATTGAAATCATTAGGTCACATTAGCACTTATTTAGGTGTTCAGATTGAAAAAACACAGAAGGGGTTTAGTCTTTCACAAGAAGATAAAATTGAACAAGTTTTGCATCATTGCAACATGAAAGATGCTAACACAAGAAAGACACCCATGCAAACAGATTTTCACAACTTGACACAAGAAGCAAGTCCTGAATTCGAGGATCAAACACTTTATCGTTCAGTTATTGAGTCACTGTTATACATTAGTAGTTGGACCAGACCCGACATTGCACTTAGTGTTAATCTCTTATCTCGACACGTAGGTAAGGCAAAACAGTTTCATTGGACATGTATTAAGAAATTATTGAGATACCTAAAATACACAAAACATTTGAAGTTATTGTTAGAACCAACACATACTGATTATGCAGAATTATGTTGTTATGCAGATTCTGATTGGGCAAGTGATAAGAAATCACGTAAAAGTACTTCAGGTTATATGATGTTCTTAAATGGATGTCCTGTTTATTGGCAAGTACGTAAACAGAATTTTGTTTCTTGTTCATCTACTAAAGCTGAATATGCTTGTGTTTCAGATGCATGTAATTCCCTAACTTGGTTTGATGCTTTAGTCACAGATATCTGGACACACCCGATCTGACCAATCACCATGATGGAAGACAATGAATCGGTGGTTTATATTTCTGAATCACATTTCACAGGTTCTAGGTCCAGACACATTGACATTCGTTACCAAAACATAAAGCATTTAGTGAAAAAAGGTTTTGTCAAAATGCAATATGTATCTACACATGATCAAATTGCTGATATGCTCAACAAACCACTCCCAGCAGCTCAACACGAGTATCTGCGCAAGAAGATGTGCCTTATTTGATGATGTACTGATATTCGCTCAACTGGCAAAGAAGGGGAATGTCACTGCGTTTATTTATTTGCCAGCTGAACTCATCATTTCTGGACTGTCAGACTCTCCGTAGCTTGCCAACTTCTTATCAGTAAGCTACGTGTTTCCGTATCCACCCACATTCCTTCACTTGCTTCACACTCTCTTTCCTTTGTTCTCTTTCCAGAAAGGTCCGGCTGAGAGATAGCCGGCCCGAATTACTTTCAAAAATGTAGCAATTACTTTTCTTAGTTAGTGAGGTGTTTTATTTTCTTTATAACAAATAAATGAGTTTTATTAGAAACTTTTCCTCGCGTTTCTTTTCAGAATATTGCAACTTGGAATAAGCCACGATCCATCTCCTCTAAACCAGGGTAATTAGTCCCAGAGCCAAACATGGGATTAATAAATGCCCTGACATCGTTATGTTATGTTATGGCCCATAACCAATGTTAAGGATATTGTTGTTGTCAATATCAACAAGCAGAGTGTAGCGCACAGAGAAACGTTGCTGAGAGCAATGAATAAGAGATGTGCAAACTGGTTTATCAAAAGCTTACTTTATAGGGAAAAAACAATCTCGTAGTCTTTTAAATCAATCCAAGTCTTTGCCAGTTAAATCAGTCCAGTGATACAAAAATCTCTTCTTACCACCCAAACAGTAGTTGGTTAGAATAACAAACTCACTCTGGTTCACAAACCACGATGGTAGCAGATCCATCCAATGATGATAGCACAATGATAGCAAGTCCACATACTATGGTAGCTTATCATCAACTGAATACGTTATAGTACCTTTCTTAAATACGTTTACAACTAGTGATTATCTAATTACAGCATGACTCAGCATTACAATGAATCAGCAGGAAAACTTTAAAGTCACACAATACATATTCATATTAAAGTCACAGAACACATATATTGCCTGGACAACTTGTTAGGCTCAAACCATATCCTAACATTCTCCAAATCCAATTTTAAATCCAAATATAAAGTTTTCTTTTCTGGGCTTTAGTACTTTAACTTCCTCTTTGTTCTTCTCCCTCCATTAAAATTCCCAAGTGCCAATTAGCTGCTCGTTTCCTTGCCGGGACACCTTTTAAAGGTTTTTTTTTTAATTTCCTTTTTTACCTGTGAGTTGGCCAATCACTCACCTGGTACCTGTACTCTGTTCAAACACTGCTCCTGCATAAAATCTTATTCCAATTGCCTCAGCTTCAAAGCGGTTATTTTTAACGGCCGCTACCCCCCCCCCCCCCGGTGGTTCGAAGAGCTGCCTCCGACCTTTCAAGGAACTTGTCTGTTCCTCTTGGTTGTCTGAAGCGCCTCTCCTTCCTCATCATACCTACAGGACAGTTTCTGTCTTAAGACCTCCCGACAGCATTTTGTCTGGCTGGATTTTCTTGAGGCTTGTCAGAGCCTGCTATTTTCCAGCCAGTCTCACCGCAACGCTTCCAGTTACTCAGTTACTTAATGTCCTTTATGGAGTCATCTAAAACAAGTTGGAGGCAATGGTTTAAGCAGTGCCATATTATAATGTTTGGAAACTCTTTTGCTATTCTAGTGCTCACTCCAGATTTTCTCCCAAGCATAATGCTGGCACCATCAGAGCAAAATGCTATTAAATTTTTTTGTAGATAGTCTATAGTAAACCCATTATGTAAACTTTCCATAACTGAAGAATATATTGTCTCTGCATCTTGTTTTTCCAATTCAACAAGCTGAATAAAAAATTTTGGTGGGTTATCTGAATACTCAACTTTTACGAAAACTATCACAACTGGTTTGCATGATAGCATTGAGGCTTCATCAATAATCAAACATATTTTCAGATTCTGTTCAATAATGCTAGCAAACATTTTGGTTTTAATTTTTTTTTGCAATGAAATCAACTATTTTCACTGCAGTTGACCGTGAATGCAATCCTACTCCCAGTTCTATTCCAATTACAGTTAGCAATTCTACCTCTCCTTCTATGTTTGAAAATGGTTTACATCTTTGTGCCAGATTGTAAACTGTCATAAATACTCTACAAGTAGTAGATAAATATTTTTCAGTTATCTTATCTACTGCTTTTGTTATAGCATCTTGCTGCCCTTGTTTTAAGTTCTCTCTGCAAATGATGTGAGTTTTTGATGTAAAATGTTCTTTCATTTTTTTCCTAAGAGAAGCTTATTGTACTTCTTTAGTTTTCCCTGCTGCCTCAATCTTGAAATGTTTCCATTCTTTGGACACATGAATGCCTTTCTCTACTGCAAAGTCATGTTTCGCGCAGTACTTACAACCTAATATTTTGTTGGAAACTTCCAGTTCCTCATACTTCTCTTGAAAGTTGCTATATTGTTGCAATGTCCAGCAATCAAGAAGATCAGGAAGACTTTCAATTGAGGAGATTGACTTTCTCCACGTTCAAGTGGTGGCAGTGGTGCTTGTGACAGTTTTGGATCCATTCCTGTTGTATCTGATTGTTCCAATCTTGGTTTCTTGCTGAAGAAAGCGGTCAAACTCTGTTGCCTTTTCATCCTTCCTGTTAAAGGCTACTACTGCAAAAGACATAAAACAATACTGGACTTTGGACTCGATTGTGGCTGTAAACTGAGGACTAAATTTAACAGAAGGGATCTCTGTTTTCACCCAACAATGTACAGTCTTTTCAGGATGTGTTGGGGTCCAACAAACAAAAAAGATATAGTTTTTCATCTAAGAAGTTAGATCAAGAAGAATGAATTTCATAGGCACATTCACAGAGCAATACTGAATTCTTTTTCTGAAACTTATTCCTCAGTTCAAAAAACAGGAATATATGAATTAGGTTCAGTATTTAGGACAGTACAAGTCAACTAGCTATTCAAGAGTTAGTGGTGTCATGGTTAGAAACAATGGTAAAGCAACATATGGATTTAAAACCAGAAATATTTTTTGTTATTTTAAAGGGAATACATATTTAATTTTACACATGTTAACAGCTGCTAGAATTGTGTTTGCACAACAGTGGAAAAACAAAGATATGAAAATGAATAAAAATATTAGAATGTGTAGAAATGAATAAATTAACAATTAAAATCAAGGAGAAGGCTTTGAATACTTTTTAACGTGAGATTTGTTATCAATGGCTAACTAACAGAAACAGAAGTTAGAAACCTCGAAGTTTAAAAGAAAACACCAAGTATATAAGGAAAGTTCACTAAAAAGGATAAGTAAATATTATTAGTATTTGATCATTATTAATGTGTAGATAACTTTGGGAGCATACATCCCCTCCCCCAACTTGGACAGTGACAGGGAAATACCAAAAGAATAACAACAGTTTTCCCCCAAAAGACTGCAGATAAAACCAGTTTTTTCCATAACCCTAAGGACAGGAAAGACAAAGCCATTGGAATAAAAACCATCAAGGCATTGTGGGAAGTATATCCCAAAAGGACAGTGCCAGAAACCTCACAGCACCAGAAACCTCAGAAAACAGTGCCAAGAAACTCAAGCCAGCCCTTCCCCCTTTAAGAAAAACCCAGGCAAAAGCACCAGCTGAAAGGAACAGTTAAGTATGGACATTAAGATAAGGGAAATCAGGCTAAAAACAACTCACCTGGAACTCCCCCTTTCCTCTTTCCTGGCAGAATTAACCCCCAGGATAGGAAAGACAAAAGACCTGGGACCAAATTTAACCCAGGAAAACAAAACCCAGGGCAATCAGAAATCCATCAAAACCCATCAAGCTGCAGGAGCTCACAAAGTTGCACAATCTCAACATATAAAAGCAGCTTTAGAGTCATATTTAAGGACCTTGCTGCAAGCAGGTTGCTCACAAAATTATACCCCCCCCAAAACCAGTTACCACACTTACACACAAAATCTCACAAAGTTGCACAACTTGTCTCATAAAACCAGCTGAACTTCACGTAAAATGTCCCCTGCTGCAAGTATCAACCTCACAAAATTACAGAGGTTCAAAAACCAAGTATCACACTTACACACAAGTCTAATTTTTAGATTTGTGCAGCTTTGTGAGATTTTGTGTGTGTGATAATTGTTTTTTTAAGTTGTGTAATTTTGTGAGCAATCTGTTTGCAGCAAGGACATTTTATGTTACTATAAATTAAAGCTATATTTTTAGATTTGTGCAGCTTTGTGAGATTTTGTGTTTTTGTAGTGAGTGTGAATCACTACAGAAACACAAAATCTGCACAAATCTAAAAATATAAAAGCAGCTAAAATTTTATCTGGCTCTATTTCCTAACAAAAATATTTTTTCCTAAAAAACAATAAAATTTCCTAAAAAAAACCAATTAACACACTTATTATTTTTTTAAAGCATTAAAAAAAAGCCACTTACACAATTGAAGGCACACGGCAGGCAGGCATACAGATTCAGTTGCTCGCCGATGAGATGGATGCAGATGCAGCTGTGGGATTGCAAGCAAAACAAGGCAGGCGAGTCTGCGACCAGCAGCTCGGGATTTTGTTTGGGAGTGAACTAGGTAAGCAAGCTGGAGGCTGGGGGGAAGGTGGGTTAGTTAGCTAGGCCCGCCTGGGATGGAGCGTGGGTGGCTTAGCCAGCCAGGCGAGCCCAGGGATGGGAGGCACACTAGGACACAGTTGATCACCAGTGGCTTCGTGAACTATGTGAGCCCAGGGGGGGGACAGTGGGTGGGGGTGGCAAGCAAGAAGTGGCTACAGTGCTGGAGGCTTTGCAAGCTATGTGAGGCTGGGGACAGGTGGCATGCTAGGCTGCAATCAATCATCGGCAGCTTCACAATCTACACAAGGCTAGGGATAGGAACGGGTAGCACGCTAGGCCAGCGCAGTCGAATGCTGGCAGCTTTGTGAGCTACACGAGGCCATTCCGGGTGGCACACTAGGCTGCAACCGATTGCTGGCAGCTTCACAAACTACATGAGCCCAGGGATGGTGGGTGGGAGCGGCAAGCTAGGGGTGGCTGCAGCACTGGCAGTTTTGCAAGGTATGCGGGTCTGGGGATGGGGGGGGACTAGTGAGTGCTTATCTGTAAGCAGGAGGAGGCAGCTCCGTTGTGGTGTAGGCACCATGGAAGGCAAAGTCTAGCAGGCAAACCGCAGAGCAGATTGTCTATGTGCAAGTGACAGGGCAGGAAGGTCAGGTCACATGAGGAGTGATTGACGATGTGAGGCGAGTAGCTGGGCCGTGTGGCAAAGCGAAGGCAAATATATATGGCTGGGATGGGCGGGGTAAGCGTTGAGTGGCCAAGCGAGTGAGCATCGTGGGTGGGTGTCAAGCGGGCAGGCATGGTGAGTGAGCATCGAGCGGGCGGACAGGGCAAGCGAGCAGCGAGTGGGTGACCAGGCAACCAGGCGGGGGGCATGGCTAGCCAGAAGTCATCACCGGTTCAGTGACCGAGGCCAAATTGCCGCTACCGGTTCACCTGAACCGGTGCAAACCGGCTGAATACCACCACTGAAGGGCAGCAATATGTCCATTTCCTTGCTGTATGTTCTTGCCTTTGCCCTATGGATTTGCCTTTGTCTGAGGACTTGCCTTATCTTGTAGATTTGCCTTTGCCTTGAGGATTAGTGCTTTCTTTTGTTTCTTTTGAATAGACTGCAGAACTTATTGTGCTGATGCTGGCACAAGGGAAAACTAATTCAGGCTTGGAAGCCTTAATAAAGACTCCTAACACCTGTAGTGTGTGTGTTAGTGTGAGAGGAACAGTACAGTTTTGTATTTTGAAAAGAACTTTTAAAGTATCAGCATGAAAAAGAGTGCAAGCTTTTTTTTTTCTTCCAGAAATAGCCCAAAATATTATTATGTGTTGTGGATTATGATCATATCATTGAGATTATTGATTTTAATAATAATGTGTTCTGTGTTTCATTATCTTTTTCATAGTTTTTTATTTTTAATTAAGCATTCTTGAAGTGTTCTGAAATTCTCCAGAAATGTACAAGATTTATTTTCTTTCTTCTTTCTCTTTCTCTTTCTTTCTTTCTCTTTCTCCCTCCCTCCCTCCCTCCCTCCCTCTCTCTCTCTCCTCTCCCTCTCTCTCTCCCTCTCTCTCTCTCTCCCCCCTCTCTCCCTCCCTCTCTCCCCCTCTCTCCTTCCCAATTTGACAAAAGAATCTTCAATTGAACTTTAGGGTATTATAATCTCCTTCAACATTCTTGATTTAAGAACTTGTAATTATTACTTTCACTGTAGTGATCTGAAGTTCCTGTATTATCTGTAATGATAGCAATAATTCTTATCAGAATGGCAGCCAATCATCTGAGGGCAAATGTGGATTTTGGTTGCTTGTTTTAAAGAAGCTTGTAAAATTCAGAATTGGTATCATAACTCAAGAAGTACCCAAGGAGTGAGAGGATTAAATAAAGTGGATCAGGCAGCTTGAATTTTCAAAATTAATAAAATGCATTAATTCTGGACAATATTCATATGGAATATTTTATTATGATTTACTGTGTGGCATTTGCACAGACAGCAGAGAATTGGAAGCTAATCATGATTATGGGATTCCAGACTATGAAAATAATTGGCTCTTCTCCTATTATTGTCTTTTGGTTTCAGCAGAGCCAAGAGTTTTGCCTGTATAAATTTTGGAAAGCTTTCATTTAGGAGAAAAGTTAGAATTTCACTTATAGTGAGACTGTTTACTTATGAAATTTACAAGGCATGAGTAGATGGGATTAATTGCTCTATACATAAATAGATAAGATAATCTTTATTATCTTTATTTTATTTTGTTTTATTTATTTTATTTTTCAATTTATATACCGCCCTTCTCCCTGAGGACTCAGGGCGGTGCACAGCCAGAATTAAAAAACATGAAATACAAATATTAAAAACAATTAAAATCTATATAAATTTGGCCCAAAATTTAAAAAACCACAAACCAATTAAACATTTAAAAATTTAAAAAAAATTCTTCCTAAGCCAGCCCGGCTTGCTGGAAAAAGTGGGTTTTAAGGGCACGGCGGAAGACACTGAGGTCTTGGATTCTCCTTATCTCTGGGGGCAGATGATTCCAGAGGGTAGGTGTCCCCACAGAGAAGGCTCTCCCCCTGGGGGTCACCAGCCTACATTGTTTGGCTGATGGCACCCTGAGGAGGCCCTCTCTGTGGGAGTGCACGGGTCGCTGGGAGGTCGTCGGTAGCAGCAGGCGGTCTCGAAGATAGCTAGGCCATATGCCATGGAGCACTTTAAAGGTGATAACCAACACCTTGAAGCGCACCCGGAAGACCACTGGGAGCCAGTGCAGCTCGCGCAGGAGCGGTGTTACATGGGAGCACCATGCTGCTCCCATCACTACCCACGCTGCTGCATTCTGGACCAGCTGGAGCCTCCGGGTGCCCTTCAAGGGGAGCCCCATGTAGAGAGCATTGCAGTAGTCAAGGCGAGAGGTGACGAGGGCGTGAGTGACTGTGCACAGGGAATCCCGATCAAGAAAGGGCCGCAACTGGCGAATCAGGCAAATCTGATAAAAGGTCCCACTGGTTACAGCCGTCAGATGTTCCTCCAAGGACAGCTGCATATCCAGGAGGACTCCCAGATTGCGAGCCCTTTCTGTGGGGGCCAAGGACTCGCCCCCAATAGTCAGTGATGGAGTCAACTGACTATATCGGATGCCGGGAGCCACAGCCACTCAATCTTGGAAGGGTTGAGCTTGAGCCTGTTCCTCCCCATCCAGATCCGCACAGCCTCCAGGCACTGAGACATCACTTCAAGGGTATCGTTGGGGTGGCCTGGGGTGGAGATGTACAGCTGGGTGTCATCAGCGTACTGATGGTATCTCACCCCGAAGCCACGGATGATCTCGCCCAGCAGCTTCACATAAATGTTGAACAGAAGGGGCGAGAGGACCGATCCCTGCGGCACTCCACAGACGAGAGGCCTCGAGGTCGACCTCTGCCCCCCTGCCAACACGAACTGTGACCGGTCTGAGAGAAAGGAGGAGAACCACCGTAACACAGTGCCCCCCATCCCCAACTCTTCCAGCCGGTGCAGCATGATACCATGGTCGATGGTATCAAAAGCCGCTGAGAGGTCTAACAGGACCAGAACAGAGGAGCAACCCCTGTCCCGAGCCCTCCAGAGATCATCAACCAACGCGACCAATGCCGTTTCCGTGCTGTGCCCAGACCTGAAACCCGACTGGAACGGATCTAGATAATCATTTTTTTTCTGTGAGCACACATTAAAAATGAAACTCTCTTGTTTTCAAAAGTGTACACATACATAACACACATATAGACATGCTATATACATACATATGTATATACCCATACCTTAACATATAAATATTAATCACTGTCCATCTTGACTAAATAACAGAAAGAGGAAGCTTGAGAGTTCACAAGGTTGATACTGTGTGGAACAAAACTGTGACTGAATCTGAATCTGAATCTGGATGTTCTGCTTTGGATACCATGAAGCCTCCTCCCAGAAAGTAACAAGAAAAACAGGTCATGAAGATGATGTGTAGCATCTCAGACAATACTGCGGACCCTGCTCAAGCAACACTTATATGCTATATCCTGGATAGAAGAGAGTGAACTGCCAATAATCTTTTTTGCCATCCTCCCCACTCTCTGCAGTGCCTTCCTGTCTGAAGCAGTAATGCTGCCAAACCAGACTGTAATGCAATATGACAGGATGCTCTTGTTCATCCCTCTATAGAAAGTGGTAAGGACAGGGGAAGGAAGATGTACTTTTCTCATGTGACCCAGAAAATACTGTCGCTGCTGTGCCCACTTCACCAGTGTCTCTCTGTTGAGTGACCAAGCCAGTCTATTCATTAGCTGCACACCCAGAAATTTGAAGCTGCTAACCATCTCCACAGGTGAATCATTAATACACAGAGGACTGTGGCTGTGCCTGCCTCTTCTGAAATCGACAATGATCTCTTTAGTTTTTCCAATGTTTAAAACAAGGCTGTTTTTATTACACCAGTTCACCAAAACCTCTACCTCCTTGCGGTAAGCACCCTTATTGTCATCTTGAATAAGGCCCACTATGGTTGTATCATCTGCATACTTCCCAATGTGGTTGATGGCAAACCTTTCACAACAATCATGGGTCAACAGCAGACTTAGGATGCTGCCCTGAGAAGAATCTGTGCTCAAGAAAATTGTGTTAGAAATATTAGTCCCAACTCGCACATACTGGGGCCTGTCAATAAGAAAATCAAGAATCCAGTTTTACAAAGGAGTATAAAGCCCAAAAGGCCCAGTTTGTCTACTAGATGCTGAGGAACAATTGTATTACATGCTGAACTGAAGTCGACTGAAGTTGCACATGAGTATTTCTTTCCTCTAAATGTGCCAAGCTCAGATGGAGAACAGAAGAAATAGCATCCTCTGTGGAACGATTTGGGTGGTAAGCAAACTGAAGTCAAATGCTGGAGGAAGACTGGATACAATAATGTCCTTTATCAGCCTCTCAAAACATTTCATATTAATGATGTATGTAAGTGCAACCGGACGGTAATCATTGAGACCCGTAATTGTAGACTTTTTTTGCCACTG